GAGCGAACACATACCGGCGTTCGCTCACCTCTCGATCCTGTCACGGCTCTCTGCCGTGACAGGGGAGGGGCTGGATTCCCCCCTCCCCGCACCGATCCTTCAGCGCTGACTGGCGGAACAGACGGGGGAGGGGGCGGGTACAGCTGGCTCTGCCTCTAGATAGGCAGAGCCAGCTGTCACTCACGCAGCTGGGCAGATCCCGGCACAATTGTCAGCATCCGCTGCGGCGTCTCAGTATACCGCGAGCTGCAGCTCCCTATATACTGAGCCTAGGGTGACGGGGGGACGCTAGTTTGTGTCCTCCCGTTACCCTAAGGAGATCTATGGGGAAAAGCCTTAACCCCATAGTTCTCCTTTAAGCCTCCAGCGGTGCTTGTGACCACCAGACAATCGAATTACATAGAATGGGCCCAATAAACCATTGCTAGTGCAGAGAAATTGCAACAATGAAATTGTGCAAAATTGTCACACACAAAAAGTTTGCAAATTGCAACAAAGTATTCTGTGGCAGAGACCGTCGTTTATAATCGAGTCACCTACTGCTTGGCCTTCCAATGCGCCATTACTGACCCAAAAGCACAAGAAAGGTCGGCTCCAATATGCTCAATATCCTATAAATATAAAGATTCTGTTCTGTGGGGTGACGGAGCAAAACTGGAACTTTTTGGGTCCCATGGATCAGTGGAATGTCTGGAGGAAGAATGAAGCCTACGCTGAAAAGAACACTCGGTGAAGCATGGTGGTGGCTCGGTGATGCTCTGGGTCTGCTTTGCATCCTCTGGCACTGGAAACCTGCAGCGTGTGGAGGGCAAGATGGAATAGTTGAAGTATCGGGAGATCCGAGGAGAAAATGTCATGCCCTCTGTGAGGAAGCTGAAGCTTGGGCATCATTGGACCTTCCCAACAGGACAATGATCCCCAGCATACCTCAAAGTCCTCCACAATGGCTGCAGAAGAAGTCCTGGAAGGTTCTACAGCGGCCACAGTCACCTGACTTGAACCCCCATAGAAAATCTGTGGTGGGATTTGAAGGAGGAGGTTGCAGCACACAATCATAGGAATATTACTCAATTGGAGGCCATTGCTCATGAGGAACGGGATAGGATTCCTCAGGAAACGCTCCCAGAAGCTGGTGTCTTATCTACGCATCTCGTTTGCAGCAAAAGGGGCGCTCTACTATGTACTAAAGATGCTTGCAATCATTCTGAGACCGCAAAAGTCATTAAAAGTTACATTTTCAGTTGAATTTGGGGAAACCACTTGAAACATTCCTTGTGTTGACCTATTCCAATTGCTTTTGTTTGATTTTGTTCATTGCAAACAGCTAAAAGTCTGTAAATATGGCCAATACACCGATTTAAAATGTTGCAATCTGTACTAATGCTGCAGCGCTGACAGTTCGGGCTCAGGGCCGGCGCACACCTAGGCGATTTATCGCGCAAAACACAGATTCGCATTGAAGTCAATGGAGGCTGCTCACACCTTTGCGGTTTGTGGCGCGACCGAAATCGTCTGTCGCGCGACAAGGTGCAGGAGCTATTTTCGTCAGATGACTAAAACATGAATTGCTTGCTCATGGTTGTTGAAATTTGCTCTTTGCCTCTCTGTCCTGTATTCTGTCCTCTGGCCAGTAGGGGACGCTCACTGTGTGTCCTGTATTCTGTCCTCTGGCCAGTAGGTGGTGCTCACTGTGTGTCCTGTATTCTGTCCTCTGGCCCGTAGGTGGTGCTCACTGTGTGTCCTGTATTCTGTCCTCTGGCCAGTAGGGGACGCTCACTGTGTGTCCTGTATTCTGTCCTCTGGCCCGTAGGTGGTGCTCACTGTGTGTCCTGTATTCTGTCCTCTGGCCCGTAGGTGGTGCTCACTGTGTGTCCTGTATTCTGTCCTCTGGCCAGTAGGGGACGCTCACTGTGTGTCCTGTATTCTGTCCTGTGGCCAGTAGGGGGTGCTCACTGTGTGTCCTGTATTCTGTCCTCACCAATATGTTTTCTCCATCTTTGTTCCATGCAGGGAGCAGTCCATGTCCTCTGTGGGGTTCTGTGTGGTCAGCACTCAGAGGAGATGTTACCCGCTGGAAGATGCCACTCATATCGCCCTGCGTAAGTCTTCACCGCTGAATTCTCGGTTGTAACATACAGATCATCCCCCTAGTACGATCTTGTGTTGAGTAGAACATATACTCATACATAACAAGGAGCTGCGTTAACGGTCTATAAGACAGAGGGAGCCTGAAATGCCTTTCCTGGAGAAAATGCTGCTCCGAGCTTCTGGCAGTGCTGCCACCTGTATGAAGGCATACGCGCTTGGTCCCGTGATCTGTGCTAAAAAGGAGGAACTGCCAATGTGAACTCTGATCATCCCTTTCAGCAGAGATCACATGACTAAGTGCCTGTTCATAACAATGCTGTACGTTAATCACATGACACCGCGCAACACACCTAATGTGCATTACAATGCAGCAGGTACATTGCATTTTTGTTCATGTGAATGGTATCCAAACACACCTCCCGGCCTCTATGCACTCGATTGCGCTGCAACATGCAGAACTGCATCACTGCGCCAATGAAAAAAGTAGTGTATGCACCGCATGACATGGCATTGGGGTACATTGTTCACACAGGAAATGGGGAAATAATGTTTATAAACAATGTTACTTTGTATCTCTCTATCTCTCTCTGATCAATGTTTATAAACAATGTTACTTTGCATCTCTCTATCTCCCCTCTGATCAATGTTTATAAACAATGTTACTTTGCATCTCTCTATCTCCCCTCTGATCAATGTTTATAAACAATGTTACTTTGCATCTCTCTATCTCCCCTCTGATCAATGTTTATAAACAATGTTACTTTGCATCTCTCTATCTCCCCTCTGATCAATGTTTATAAACAATGTTACTTTGCATCTCTCTATCTCCCCTCTGATCAATGTTTATAAACAATGTTACTTTGCATCTCTCTATCTCCCCTCTGATCAATGTTTATAAACAATGTTACTTTGCATCTCTCTATCTCCCCTCTGATCAATGTTTATAAACAATGTTACTTTGCATCTCTCTATCTCCCCTCTGATCAATGTTTATAAACAATGTTACTTTGCATCTCTCTATCTCCCCTCTGATCAATGTTTATAAACAATGTTACTTTGCATCTCTCTATCTCCCCTCTGATCAATGTTTATAAACAATGTTACTTTGCATCTCTCTATCTCCCCTCTGATCAATGTTTATAAACAATGTTACTTTGCATCTCTCTATCTCCCCTCTGATCAATGTTTATAAACAATGTTACTTTGCATCTCTCTATCTCCCCTCTGATCAATGTTTATAAACAATGTTACTTTGCATCTCTCTATCTCCCCTCTGATCAATGTTTATAAACAATGTTACTTTGCATCTCTCTATCTCCCCTCTGATCAATGTTTATAAACAATGTTACTTTGCATCTCTCTATCTCCCCTCTGATCAATGTTTATAAACAATGTTACTTTGCATCTCTCTATCTCCCCTCTGATCAATGTTTATAAACAATGTTACTTTGCATCTCTCTATCTCCCCTCTGATCAATGTTTATAAACAATGTTACTTTGCATCTCTCTATCTCCCCTCTGATCAATGTTTATAAACAATGTTACTTTGCATCTCTCTATCTCCCCTCTGATCAATGTTTATAAACAATGTTACTTTGCATCTCTCTATCTCCCCTCTGATCAATGTTTATAAACAATGTTACTTTGCATCTCTCTATCTCCCCTCTGATCAATGTTTATAAACAATGTTACTTTGCATCTCTCTATCTCCCCTCTGATCAATGTTTATAAACAATGTTACTTTGCATCTCTCTATCTCCCCTCTGATCAATGTTTATAAACAATGTTACTTTGCATCTCTCTATCTCCCCTCTGATCAATGTTTATAAACAATGTTACTTTGTATCTCTCTATCTCCCCTCTGATCAATGTTTATAAACCTAATCTGTATCTAATCAGCAACTCAGGAATTGCTGGCAAGTGCATGGAGTGGGGATGAGACAGCAGAGGGGCAGGAGGACAGGATGTATTACAGTTTTTTTGTTTTTGGCAAGGGTAGCAGGCGCAGTGTCCACAACTGGTTAAAGTGTATCCATCAGTCCAGGAGGATTTTGTTTTTTGTTAGTTTTTTTTATGTTTTTCTTCACAAATGATGTTGACATAAGTTTTATTCCTCAGCATTGTGATGTATGTGGGATGGGTGTTTATTCTATGTGTATATATCATAGACGCTCATGTTGCCTCCCATCCTATAGGTACAGTACGAAGGTTCCTGGAGTCGCATGGATCCGCTCTAGAGAGAGTGGTGTTTGCAATCACGGAGCAGGAAGAGGTACCTCGATGGTTTCACAGTCACATTTTCTCTACCCTGTGGTCATAATGCAGTATTGCTCCTCCTTTCCTGGCCATGCTCACCTTTTCCCTGATGCACAACAGCAGAATTGAACACGAATAGGTGTATTCAGTTAGAGTGCCGGTGGCAACCAATCAGATTCTATTTTCTGGTCCTACTTGATAGAAAGGGACTTCCAGTGGGTGGTATGAGCTACTGCTGTTTGTGCCATGCACTGCTTATTGTGTAAACCTTGAAAATGGGGAGGGGTGGATGCCTACCTAATCAGACACACATCAGTGCTCTTGGACTTTAATTTGAAAAGTGAAGATTTGTTATAGGGAACATTTAGAATTGTTAATTGTTCCCAAGCAGTAACATGAACATTTTACTTTTTTTTTTCCAGGATTCCCTACTATAATATCAGTGCATTTCCTGCCTAGGCACACCTATTCTGTATTCTCATGGCTGTATATCTGCTGTGTGTCCTTGTCTGAGGCAGGGGTAGGCAACCTTGGCACACCAGCTGTGGTGAAACGACAGATACCATCATGCCTGTGACTGTCAGTCTTGCAATGCCCTATGGGACTTGAAGATCCACAACAGCTGGAGTGCTGAGGCATCTGGAGTGCTAGAGACTAGCAGTTCCTTAGATCAGAGGTATGCTTCCTGCTGCAGGCTCTGACATGAGGAATCAAAGCCCCGCCTCTGTTAAGATGGCCACCTCCACACACAGGCAAACTGCAGTTCAAGGCATCGGTTGTTTGTGAAGGTTTTCCTTCCTCCGGGTCATGGTATATCTGTAAAGAATAAATTAAGGCAACTGGACTTGCTGTATTTTGTTTGGAAGATGTTTTACTGGTCATCTGACTAGCTTCCTCGAGAGAAAGCTAGTCTGATGACCAGCGAAATGTCTTCCAGAAGAATACAGCAGGCCAAATTGCCTTAATTTATTCCTTACAGATATAAGGCATGGGTTGGTTCATGGTTCAGGTCCATTGTATAGATCCCATCTCTACACTCAGCAGTATGCCTAGCCCTTCCACACTCCAGGGTCACCATTAGAATTCACAGGGCCCCATACAACCTGCCTGAAAGACCCCCACCCACTTCCTCCGCACTAAAGCCCCCCTGTCCCTCAAGGCAGTTTTCAAGGCACATTAGAAATTCCCCTCTCCCAGCATCCTACTCAGTGTGCATTGCTGGGCTGCTTGCATGGTCACGGTTGGGTCCCAGCATCTAATAGTCTGCTGATAAAAGTGATTTGTGTCCTCTTCTGGGCAGTTAAAATGTTGTATGTTTTGTCTCTTCCAGGCCACTTACCTGCGGCTTCTGCCCCTGTACTTTCCCCGCTCGCTGTGGGAGGAGCAGAGCTCGCTGCCACTCCTACCACCAGACATCGGCAATGCTGATGGCGAGCCCATCGTGCCAGAGCGACAGATTCGAATTAGCGAGAAACCCGGTGCACATGACGAAGGTGAGTTCTGTACATCCGTCATAGGTTACCCCGGGGCCGCATTTTTATTATATGTGCATCTTGAATTATCTCCTGCTTTAGCCCCCCCCCCCCCCCCCCCAACCCCCTTTTTTTGGGGTCTTTGT